CCAACATCGCAAGTAAGCCTTTCAGCATCGCAGGCCGTGCGGCATGCGGAGAGTCCTGCGCTGGAACGAAAGGAGATCGGAAGACCACTCTCGGAACTCTCACCCGTGCAGGTGCTGCTCTCAAAAATCTCTGCATTGGATCCGGTCGAAGGGTTACTGCAGGGGGAACTGGCTCAACAGCAGCAGGACCGGGATGCTGCGTTAGCAACAGGAGTCAATGCATATGCTACTACATCTGCTGGCCTTGGTCATTACCAATGCTGCAGCGTGAATTGGGATGACGCTGCAATTCTTTCCCCCTTGACTGAATCGCTCCTTCCTGGTGCAGCCGCGGGTGCTCTGGCTGATGGGGTGGTTGATCCTAGCGGTGCCAACGTGACATCAACTGATGGTTCTGATTGGCTCGCTACGGCTGATAACGCTATTGCATCGTTCCTTATTGAGGCTGAGCTAGTCAGAATAAATACGGCTCTCCTACGGTCAGAATTAGCACCGCACTCCACTCCTCTGCCATCCTTCCCTGGCAGTTCTCTAACAGCTATTCGGGATCAAGGCTCCCGAAATCTCTCATCCGAATCAACCCAGTCAACCCACCCTAACCACTCAATCTTCCATGCGAACCCCATGGAAGTAACCATTCTTGTTGCCACTGAACTACTACCAGCAATGCCGTCTGCTGGTAGCATGTCTACTCCCTCTCTACTCCCACCACCACTGCCTCCTTGTGTTTCTGTAGTATATGAAGGCAGTGGTAGGAGAAGAGAGGGAGTAGACATGATACCAGCAGACCCCCTTGCCGTGTCTCCTGCTGCTGCTGCCGCCAAAAAACCTCTGAAGCGCATCTCTTTTCCAGAACCCGGGGCAATGAGGTTGTGAGCACGGAGGGGTTTTTTAAGCCAGACGAGCTGTTTGAAGCGTGGTGCAACGGGTCCTTCTCCAGAGTGAGTAGTGTGAATGGCATGGGATGGCTGCCATGGCATGGTTGGCATGGCATGGTTAGCATGGCATGGTTGGCATGTGATGGCTGGCGCCTCAAAACCTGTTTAGTATTGGTGCAATGGGTCGTTCTCCATAGTGAGTTCTGTCAATGGCATGTGATGTCAATGGCATGTGATGTCAATGGCATGTCCGTTGGTGTGGACCTCACCTGCCACTTCCATGCACCTGCTGCCATGGGAAGCCATCTAAATCCAGATGGCAGTTTGATGGAGCGTGGTGTGATTAATCACTCTCCAGTGTGAGGAATTTTGGCTGGCATGGCATGGCATGGTTGGCATGTGATGGTTCTCACTGCACCCTTGGTGTGGCCTTCAATGCACCTGCCGGCATGGGAGGTTATTTGAAGCCAGATGATGGAGTGTGGTGCGATGGATCGCTCTCAAGTTTGAGGGTATGATAGATGGCACGGCATGGTCGATCGCATGGCATGACATGGCGTGTGTGAGATGGCATGGTATAGCATGGCATGGCATTGGATGACATTTTTTGCTACCCAGTATTAGCGTCTATGCTGAGATGTCATGTTTGGCATTACACGTTGATGATTACATGTTTTCTCTGGGGGTTTCTTGTGTGTGGCAGGTTCTTCATGGCTTCTAAATGGAAATATGGAGCTCTGGCTTACGTGTACAGTTAGACGAATACTAAAGCTCAGCACGCATTCTTACACCTAGTCTCTTTGTGATTTTGATCACATGCTTCAATGCTGTTCATCTGGTTGTGGTCGAGCTTGACACTAGAATGTAGGGATACGCCTGTGGGACTGTTCTGAGTATTACCCAATAATCAGTGCACAAGGGGGCGTGAATTGCTATTGCTATCTAAACATAACCGTAATCAACTAATGGGGACACCTACACTGCATTCTCTGGGCAATCACAAATGTGCATGTGAAGACAGCCTTGACGAAGGGGACGGGGTCTGGTTGGAGCCTTCATCACAAACAACCAGACTTTGTTTTCAGTTGCCGTGTCCGTTTCCAACAACTAAAATTCCTAGGGTTTTTAGTTGATCGTGCACTGTTACGGAACTTATTCGCTCCCCGCGCATCTGCTGCGCTTCCAGCGCACTGTTACTGCCCAGAATTCGCTCACAGCGCAGAGTTATTGCAATTTCAACGCAGTCTTGCTTTCATTGGTCACAAAATTGACGGGCCGACAACTCAGCTTGGGTTGGCGGCCACCGAACCGTCAAACGCTAGCATTTCGGGCATAACACATATAAAACCCTATTGGGTGGCATGTTTTTCGAGGGAGTCATCAACCCTAAACACCAGGCGGCAAGGTGTTTAGGGTTGATGCCCTTTCGAACGAGTATTTTTTTCGATGGCGCGCCATCGATAGAGCATCAACCCTAAACACCATTCGGAAGGTGTTTAGGGTTGATACCCTTCTTAATGGGGTATTTATCACCAATCATAAATAAAATTGTTACTGGTTTAGCTTGGTATCCAAAGGTTCAGTTTGTAGTTATGTGCCATGCGTCGACCAATGAATCAAAACTGCGTTGAAATCGCATTGTTTCTGCGCTCTGAACCAAAACTGGGCAGTAACAGTGCGCCAGAAGCGCTTAGCAAAGAAGTACAGTATCACTGCGTCATCAACTCAAAACCCAAATTCCTAAGGGCGCGTAACTAATTCCGTCCGGACGGGGGCCCGTCCGGACTTTGGTAGGGTTACAGATGTCGTCATAGTGCGTGAGGCGATTCGCAAGCCTCCCTGCGACGTCGCCACCGTCCGGACCAGATCTGACACTTTTTTTGTCAGAAGGGGTCCGGACCACCCTCCTGACACCGTCCGAACGGTAAAGCGGGCCGTCCGTCCTACCTTCGCTTTCATTGGCGCACAAATCTTAAGTAAAACTTCGTATGTGCTGATGTAATGTATGTTACAATTCGCAGCTAAATTGGAAATTCGCCCACCAGAAAAGTTCCACATTTGTGGTCCGGACGGGCTGTCGTCCGGACCTGTGTCCCAAGCGTCCGGACGGAGCTTCGTCCGGACGGTTTGGAAGCCCAGTCCGGACTTTGGCTCCTTTCAGAAAAAGTTACACGCCCTAAGTGTCTACTCTCTGACAAGGCTTTCCAGCTCGGATCAGAAGAATGCAGGCTTGCCCTGGCGGCGCGTCGTCGTCAGCCATTTGCTTTGTTTCTCTGTCAACCATTCGTCAACGATTTTTAAACTGATGATGTCAGCAAGGTGTTCAAGCGTGCCGTCCCTTCCCTTCTCGTCCGAAAGACAAGCGGACCGTTACCAAGGGAAGGCAAAGGCGGTGGGTTCGTGCCAGCAATGCAGGGTGGTGGTGGCAAGTACCAATCCGATCCGATTGTTCTCCCCCCCCCAGTTTTGTTTTTCCCCTCTTATCGTGTGGCTGATGCTCCTTTTGAAACGTCCAAAGTACAATTGATGCCCAACCAGTGCACGCGGATTTGCCTTGCGCCGGATGGAAACGCTGCACCCGAGGTTGTTTCCCCAGCCTGTTGCTCCCACGTTATAAGCGCGTCGCGTGGTTATCAACCAATAGTAACGAACAGACCGAGGTCAAGCAGAAGAGACTGAAGTCAAATAAGGTAACAGATCTTGTTTATAAGCACCTGCGAATCCTTTTTAGCTAGCTGCGAATTGACGAAACTTATGCGAAATGCTCGTTACAGCTTATACGCCCCCTTCACAAGGCAACCGGGAGGGGCTCAAACAGGCATCAATTGTAGTCAGTCAATTTTACGGCAGCGTTGCTCTGGTGGACTCCCTAAAGCGTTGGCTTGCCTCACCGCATAACTTCCCTTTCGGAAACCTAATTTGTAAGTGCGGCACTCTCACGCTGGACGATCACGACTTTCCTTTGTTCTGATCCGTAAAAACCTTTCTTTTTAGTGAAATGGTCTGGCGATAAGAAAAGTAGCAAGATCCACCGTAGTGAAGCAACTTCACTGTAGACGATATAATCTCGAGATCGGTCGTTAGACTTCGCGCCCATACTCTGTTGGCTGGCTGTTGTCACGCCCGCGAAGTGACGAGCAGGAGAACTGACGGAGGATAGGAGGGAGAGCGAAGCGAAAGCAAAGGAAGGGGAGGGGGGAAGGGGTGCGACTCGGAAACGGAAAGGATGCCACGCCAGTGGCTAGAAACGAGTGCAGCTCTCTAACGGAGTTCCCGAGGTTGCACAGTTCCCGCCACTCGCGTCATATCCTCAGGGTCTCCATTTGCGTGCTGCTGCCGAGTGGATCATACCTTTGAGATTTTTCCGAGAAGCGCGCCTGGTCACTCGTTTTCAGCGAGTTGTGTCGCCAAAGCAAGGATCCACGTGCGAACGCCAGGAACATGCAGCTTCTCAAAGGCTTCTTTTCCTGTGCACCGTCCATCCACGCCAAGTGACAAACCCCAGGGTATCATCGCCAGGGCCCTGTCGGCTGACTTGTCATAGTTGTACCGTCGGGTGCTTCAAAGCGAGAGCTGAAACGCCTGCCGCACTGTGAATCCTGCTACTACGTGTTCTGCTTCCACGTTCGCAGGCATTCTGTTTCTTTGTTCCCTCTCAAGAATTGTCTAAAAACGACTCTCGCCGTCATTTCTCCTGCTAACGTCTGGCCTAGTAGTACTTCAGGGCCTTTCAACCGGGCGTTGTTGCGAAGTTGATGAAAAAATCCTGTACTTTGTTCGTCTGTAAACACGCGTGGGTTGAAAGCTTGGCGATTGTGCTGTTCGATCTGAACAGACAAAGATGAGGTCTAGTAATCTGAGGTTCAGTCAGGGATCCGGAAAGACCACTAAAGTGATAAGCTCTTTAGTTGGTCACACTGGTGACTCTAACGGGAGCCGCCAGCGTGCGCCTGGTGCACTCTGGAAACCGGAGGTACACTCAACTGAACCGTACTGCACTGCGCCTAACCGCTGATGTGGCAATACCATGATACCTATCATTCTTCAGCACTCTGATTCTTGAACGTGGTAGACTTATTTGCAACTAAAATCTGAACCTGTTTATGGCTCGGATGTGTGCAGGAAGACAGGATCTTACTGGCCCACGTGGCAAAGCATGGGACAAAGAAGTGGAGGCTTATTAAGTCTATGGGTCTGCTTCCCACACGAAACCACAAGGCGTGCAGTAACCGCTTCATCGTTCTCACAAGGTACTACTCTCTTGACAGACGGTTTTATGCATTGTCTTGACTCACGTACTGAGTTGATTCAATGACACATTAATTTGCGCAATCTCAGTCGCTGTCTCAGGTCGGATTACTACCAACACTAGGCACATCTGGGGTATTGGCTTCATCAAAGCTTTCTCCCGCCGGAATATTGACCTATTCTCTCATTTTGACAGCACAAGGCTGCAGTCAACTATGCAAGCAAGGTCATTGTGGCATGGGGTCTTCCCTTTATGGATTCACAGGCCCAGGTTACTTCTCTGTTGTCAGTGCGTGCAAAAGTAGTCCGAGGTGGGGGTGTGTGGGGGCTTACCGCGCACACACTTCCATGGTAGTATCTGGCAGGCGCTGATATACACAGGGAGTGGGAGTGTGAGTGAGTGAAGGAAGCTGTTTGAGTTGCATCACGGTGCACGAATCTGCGGCACATGCAAAGGATGACATTTTTTTGTTGGTTTCCTCCCATGCGGCTTCTCTTGACTCGTGCAGGAAGCTGTAGAAGCGGCTACGTCAGTTGGCATGAGGCTGCATGAACCTATTTGAGGATCTAACAATGGTGACGACAAAGACGATGTCGCCGCCAGCAACGCACTGCATGTTCTGCTCCTTCCTGTGCTCTCGTTTTTTATTAGCAGGAAACTTTCAAGGCTGGGTCAGCTTACAGGAGTCTCGGAAATGGGTGCAGAGATGACAATGCCGATGGCGTCTTCTGCAACGGATACGGTGTTGGTGAAGATGCACAGATTGGAAGAAAGAGGTGATTGGGGTCCTCTCAGTTCCTCATCATTCTCAGAAATGGCTGCAGAGGCGACATTGCCGATGGCATCATTTGCAATGGATAGGGTGATGGTGAAGATGGAGAGGACACTGGAAGAAGGAGGTGATTGTGGCCCTCTCAGTTCCTCATCAGTCTGCGAACAACAGCACTCGCCGTGTCGGCAGCATTTGCCACGTCAGCAACAGCACTCGTTGTGTCAGCAACTGGACTCCTCTGATAAGCAACAGTGCAATGAGTGCCAGCAACATTCGACATCAAGTCACGAGAAGTGCGCTCCAGCAACGGGCATGCCTGAGAGGACGATTCTGATGGGGGCGCTGAGCGCAGTAGACGACGACTACTATGGTGCGTGCAGAACAGTTGCTGGGGAGCTGTTTGAATCTGGTTCTGATGGTCAACAGGACCTCTCGGGGGGAAGAGCTGCTGAGCTGTTTGAATCTGGTTCTGATGGTTTTACAGGTCATCAGGACCAATGGAGAAGAGCTCCTGGGGAGCTTTTTGACATTGCTGCAATAATTCCTCAAACTGGAGCAGCGGTTGTGGGAACCAGCCGAGGAGATGTGGAGGAGGAGGAGGCTGACACGGCAGATGCAACGGCAGATGCAACGGCAGATGCAACGGCAGATGCAACGGCAGATGCAATGACAGATTGTGTGACGGAAGAGACATCAGATAAAGCAGCAGCAGATGAGGTGATGCTTGAATATACAATCCCAGCAGAAGTTGTGACCATGGCACTTGCTCCCTCTTCATGCTTCCCTGAGCACATGCATCATCCAGCTTCGCAAATAAACCTTTCCGCAACCACTTCTGAAGCGTGTCAACCGCTTGGGCCCAGGTTCTATCCAACATCGCAAGTAAGCAGCCTTTCAGCATCGCAGCAGCCTGCGGCGGAAATCCTTGCACTAATAGGCAAGGAGATTGGAATACCACTCTCTGAACTCTCCCCCGTGCACGTGTGGGAATTGAATCCGAATGAAGAGTTCATGTTGGGCGAAATGCCTCAGCAGCAGCAGGTGCTTCAGCAAAAAAGACTTCTCAGTAGAATCAACGCCTGCAGCAGTTTGCAAGGTGCAGCGGATTGGATACCGGACCAGGACCCTGCGTTTGTTGCAAGTGCTACCTCTGCTGGTTTTAATGATTACCAATGCGGCAGCGTTAACTGGGATGGGGCTGCAGCAGTTCTTTCCCCCTTGGCTGATCCGCTCCCTGGTACTGCGGCTGGTGTGGCCGCCGATGCTCTGCCTCCTGGAGTGTTTGATCCCAGCCGTTCCACTCATCCTAGCAGTGCGAACGTGGTGGCATCGACTGATGGTTCTGATTGGCTAGCTGCCGCTGATAACGCTATCGCATGTTTCCTTATCGAGGCTGAGCTGATACGAATCAATAAGGCTCTGCTACAGTCTGAATCAGCACCGCACTCCACTCCTCTCCCTTCCTCCCCTGGCAGTTCACTAACAGCTATTCAGGACCAAGGTTCACCTCGTTTAACACAACCAAACCACTCAAGGTTCCATTCAAACCTCTTGGAAGTTGCCACTTCTATTGCCACTGCACAACCAGCAACGCCGTGTACCGTTAGCATGTCAACGCCCTCTCTGCTCCCACCACTGCCTTCGTATACTGCTGCAACGCCTCCTTGCGTCGACCCTCGTGCCGCTTCTCCTGCTGCTGCTGCTGCTGCTCCTCCTGCTCTCGCTGCTGCCATGGAGCCGCTGAGGCGCATCTGTCTCCCAGAACCCAGGGGCAATGAGGCTGTCAGCCTGGAGGGCTGCTTGAATCCTGATGAGCTGTTTGAAGCGTGGTGCAATGGGTCCTTCTCCAGAGTGAGTAATGTCAATGGCAGCTTCCTGCATGGTTTGAGTCCCATGATCAAACCGGTTGATCTCAGATGAGCTGTTTGAAGCGTGGTGCAACGGGTCCTTCTCCAGAGTGAGTAGTGTGTAGTGTAATGGCATGCCTTGGCATGGCATGGCATGGCATGGCATGGCGTGGCATGGCATGGCATGGCATGGCATGGCATGGCATGGCATGGCATGGCATGGCATGGCATGGCATGGCATGGCATGGCATGGCACTGAATGACATTGCTTGCTAGCCAATATTAGTGTCTATGTTGAGAGGTCGTGTGTGGTAACCGAAATGGCATAGATTGTGTCTTGGGACGTCTAAAACTTTTAGACGTCTTAAAAGTTGTCTTGAGACGTCTCAAAGCTTGCCTATGTTGAGATGTCGTGTGGTGATTCACATGGCATAGATTACGTTACACGTAGATAACATGTTTTCTTTGGGTTTATTGTGTGACAGGTACTTCACGGCTTCTAATCGGGAATACAAAGCTCTTCCTTACGTGTACAGTTAGACTGTTAGATGATGACATGGCATTCTCAGGGAAATCACAAATGCCTGTGTCCTTGTGCTTTCTAAAGGTGATTCCTGTGAGGTTATCCTGTATCAAGGACAGAAGGGTGCCTGCATTGCCTTTTCCTACAATACTCTCTAACAGAACCATCTTAGTAGTATTTCATCTTGCTTTTCTGATGCCTATGTTTGCTGCTAAAAGCGTTCCAACTTCCACCACTGTTCAGAGAGCTGTGCTTAGCAAAAGGCCTTTTCAATAACAAAGCAGAGAACAGCAAAGCCCACCTACTGCACCCACCCTGTGCAGAAATTACCCCTGAACTTGAAAGCACCCTAGATCATGGCACAAACCCAATGCCACCACATGACAACCCTAGAAACAGAGCTGGCTTCTAAAAATCAGTTCCAGGGCTGACAGACAGAAGGACCACCGCAGAAGTCAACCCCGACAGAAGAGGAAACCGAAGGGGCGCTTGCAGGGGTTGCAAGCCATATTAACAATCACGTGTGCACTGCACGCACGGGGAAGAACAGGGGAGGAGAACCGTGGAGAGTGAGAGTGAGTCAATTCAAGAGGAAAACAAGGGGGCGCTTCCAGGGGTTGCAAGCCATGTGTACAACCACATGCGCACTGCAGGCACGGGCAACAACAGAAGAACGGTTTGTGAGGGCGTATCCCTGGGTGGTGGCAGGGCCACTGTAGATGGCAGCCTGCCACGAACCCCTAAAACGCCAGGTTGGTGTCAGGAAACTTGGCGCGCAAATACAGGTTCGTGATTGGGCAATGTCCCAGAAATGTCATTTCAATGCCGCCAATTTCGGGTCGCGCGCGCCGGGCAAAATGTTGGTGGCATGCGGTTTTCCCGCATGCCACCAACAGTGCCTGCTACAGTGGCCCTGCCACCACCCAGGGATACGCCCTGAGTTGGATTAGGGTTTGTGGGTTTTGGTTTCAGTCAGTTTAGGGTAAAGGTTTCGGGTTTAAAGAAAAGTGTGCAAAAGAGATGGAAGTACCGAGCGGGTGGAGGCGCAGGCAGTGGCTTTAAATGTCAGCCATGACTTACTCCTCATCATGCTGATTGTTAGTGTTGAAGTACGTGCTCTTGAATGCAAACACGAGAATGCTCCAAAGGTGAATACAAGTAGACTAAAAAAAAATCAAACCATGACTTACTCCTCATCATGCTGATTGTTGGTGTCAAATGCCGTGTCTCTGTATGCAAACATGAGAATGTTCTTAAAGTGAATACTGGGACCGACTCGAACCATGACTTACTCTTCATCATGCTGGTTGTTAGTGTCAAACGCCGAGCCCTTGTATGCAAACATGAGAATGTTCTTGCCCTTGGGGTTGAAAACCACAGGGCTGCCATCGCTCGCAGAGCGCTCGAACCTGCCAGCAGAGCAAGTGAGATGACAACAGCAAGAAAGTGAACACCTCCTCTCCGCCCCCTCCCCCCTCTTTATCACTGGAAAAAGGGGGCCTTGCAAAGACACTGCAACAAACGCTGGAGAGCACGAATCTCACACACGCTTCTGCCACACAAGTGCCTCACAGGAGCTACACACTGCACCACACCGCACCACACCGAGTGACGCCGTGATTGTCGGGCCACAGTGCGCGACACAGGAGCACACAGTAGTTCAGAGGCCCAGAGGGTCGCACAGGGGCACAGAGGGTAGCACAGGGGTACATAGGGTCGCAGTGCAGAGTGGCACAGAGGGGCGCACAGGGGCACAGAGGGGCGCACAGAGGCACACCGGGCCATAACTCACTTGAGAGAGGCGCTACCGCCTTTCCTCTTAATCGCCAGCTTGGCGGGCGTCCAATCAGTGCTCTCTGCCACACTGGCGCCGCTCTCGCCCGTGAGCGCGTGGATCGTTGCTGACGTGGCAGAGCTGGAAGTGACGGTGATGGCGTCGCCAGTCATCTCCCCGTCAGTGGAAAAGCCAACGCTGAACCAGCCCTTGCTGGCGGGGCCTGATGCGCGCAGGTCAAACTTCACACTGCTTCCAACTACCTTCCAGTTCAGGCGCAGCCTGGAATGGGGAGTGGGGGGGCAGGGGGGAGATTGGGGGCAGTAGGGGGGGGAAGGAGAGCGGGGGGGTTGGGGGGGCGTGCGTGGGGAAGTGGAAAAGCCGACGCTGAACCAGCCCTTGCTGGCGGGGCCTGATGCTTGCGAAGGTCAAACTTCACCGTGCTTCCCACCACCTTCCAGTTCAGACGCAAGCTGCAGAAAGATGTACGGGGGGAACGGGAGGCGCAAGGAGGGGGGGAGGGGGGGAGGGGGGGAGGGGGGGAGGTGGGGAGGGGGAGGGCGGCAAAAAAAAGGAGGGGAGAGTGGGGCGGAAGGGGGTTGAGGGGGGGATGAGGAGGGGGGAAGGGAAGAAGTGTTGGAAGCATCAATCAAGCACTCACCCCTTGAAAGGACGCGCGGCCGAGGTGTACCATTGATGTTGGAGTAGGTGCAGGGAAGCAGCTTATGTGATAACCTCCACGCACGCTTAGCGGCGGATTCGCTACAAACACCACTCGATACAAGCATCAGAAACTCACCCCTTGAAAGGGCGCACGGACGAGGTGTACCCCGTGATGTTGGAGTAGGTGCAGCGAAGCAACATATGTGATAGCGTACACACACGCTTACTACTACAGGCAGATTCGCTACAAGCAGCATTCGCACCAATCAAGCACTCACCCCTTGAAAGGACGCACGGACGAGGTGTACCCCTTGATATTAGAATACGTGCAGGGAAGCGGCTTATTCTCGGCGAGCACATGCAGCGGCAGATTCGACGCCGTCAGCAACATCACCATCAAGACAGCAGCAGCATTGATCATGCTCCTGAAGCCATGGCGAGTCGTCTTGCTGCTCAAGGACGCACCGCCACTGCCAGAGTGGAACCGGCCGCCATTCCCGGCGTTGATCACGGAAGGAGCCATGGTGGTGACGAGGTCGATCGCCCAGGGAGCAGAAAAACACGGCGAAGCAGCCTATGATTCCGAGGCGATCGGCTTCAAAAGCGGGCAGGCGGAAACTGGAGACTGGATTTAGAAACCAGGCTCGCTGCTGCTGCTGCTGCCGCTGCTGCTGCTGCTGCTGCTGCTGCTGCTGCTGCTGGGCTGAATTGAACCTCGACGCGACTAGCTGGTGAAGGGAGAAGGTTAATTTAGTCCGATTGAGCGGCTTCAATTTATGCTTGGAACGATGATCGCGATTCTGGGGGTGCCATGACAGCAGCACCATCGCCGTGAGGTTCGGCGGCGATGCGGCGTCGCCAGACAACGCCGGTTTGACGTCCGAATTACGGAAGCGGAAACAGTACAGAGGGACCGCATTCCCGAGCCGCGGTGTACGGGACCGGTGTTCCAAGCCAGATGCATTCACTACCGAGCCTGATGCATCAACCGAACCAGGATGATGTGCTTTCCGAAGCAGACGCGCAGGCACGGAGTGACAGCCCGCACCCTGGCAAGGGAAGGCGGCTCGTCATCCAGGCCGGATTTGCGGCTGTGCATGACTGTGCTGGGAGTATACCTAGACCCGAGGCGATCGCTTGTGTACCTAGAACGATATTTGGCGGGAGGGAGGCGGTTCGCTGGATTTGCGGCTGTGCACTGTGCTGGGAGTATACCTAGATCGGAGGCAATCGCGGGTGTATCTAGAACGAATTTGGGAAAAGAGGCGGTACTATCCCAGTTCTCACCGTGAGGTGACCTCGCGACAATGTTTACCGCGGCAGCGCAGCAGCTTTCCGGGCATTCCGTTTTTATTTTCTCCACTTTTTCTTGTTGCTGTCGCTGCTGGTCCTATAGGGTTGCTATTTTACTTGACCCCGATTGAATCGAATCGGCATTGTACTGTACACTACTACACCGCACCTCGTAAGCTTGCTGACAGCAGGTCATAACCCCCCAAAGGGTTGCTACTGTACTGATACTGAGGGCCCACCTAGGGACTACTTACCTGCTTCTTGCGCAAACGAATTTAACACTGTCGGTCAGTGCTCTGGGCAAAAAAGAAAATAAGAAAGAAGAAGAAGAAAAAAAAACTACATGGGCCGCGACTGAAGCATGCACTTGTCCTACTGGACCTTACACCGTAAAATGTCGAGCTGGTTGCACTAATCCACCTCCCTGCGGCTTGCCGGAGGATCAGGAGGCACACGAGGAAAACCCCGAGAGATGAGTGAGTCCGAAACGCTTACCACATTGCCCGCACATGGCAAACGCCGCAATTCCCTAAGGCATTCAGCGGGGGAGGCATGGGGATCACTCGGCATGCTAGACTATTGGAAGACGATCTGCAAGCACGCAGAGCGCGCATTTCCCTGCCATCGGCAGGGAAACTGCACAAGGCAAGCACGCCTGTAACGCGCGCAAGACACGCCTTACACCCCCTGTGCGTGTGCTCTAGGCAAAAGTATGGGAAACGTACGGTACAGAATGACTCTGTGATGTTCGCTCAACTGAAGCCGATGACGCACAGGTGGTGGTAACGCATGAAGAAGTTGATGTGAGGGGATGCCTTGATCCCCGTAAGGACTGATCCGGTAATGGCACATCTGTGGTGGTAAACATTAGAATGTCCGTAGTTCCCTTGTTTCCATTGCATTCTTTATACTATATTTGTTAGTTTATCTGTCTGTTTTGATGTTGTCCAATGTGCATAGAAAAAACATCTGCAGCTTATTTCTCACCATCAGATGGCGGGCTATTGAAAAGCGCGCACTGAAATGTGTAAATAATCAATAAGTCATGTTATTTCAAGCAGCATGGGAGTTGACAGGATAAGCTAACTGTACAAAGAGAAAAATTGCCTTAAAGCTGAAGTATACATTTGTCATCCAGGTTTTGGGTTTAGAAAGTCACCTCACGGTCTCACAGGCAAACTTTCAAATTTCAAAAGTTTTTGAACCCCTTCTGTCAAATGTATACGAAAGCTTTAACGAGCCTTACAAACAATCCAGCAAAGCCTCATGCGCTGTCGTGACATGCCATCTAGTCACCCCACAGAGCTATCCATTGCACAACGCATCAGACGGCCAGTGCTTTAGGTGCCCCAAAAAACGGCCAGGGTTTGAGATGTCTCATGCCCTGCCCGTGGCATACCTTCTAGCTCACCCTGCAGAGCGGGCCATTACATCACACTTCAAACAGCCACTTCTTTTCTTTCGGAACCCTGCAGAGCGGCCCATTGCACCACGCTTCAAACAGCTCGTCTGGCTTCATAAGGCCAGTCTCGGTGGGGCGCATTCTCATTTGGCTTCTGGGGAGAGAGGTGCAGCTCGGTGGATACACAGCAGTCGCAGCAGGGGTTGATGAAACAGCTGCAGATGCAGCTCCAGACGCAACAGCAGAAGCAGCAGCAGCTGGTGGGAGCACTGGTGGGAACCAAGCGGACATATCTGCTGGCATTGCTGCTTGCAGCGAGAAAAAATCAGGGGCAGTGAAACACGCAGTGCTTGCCGGATTGAGAGAGGAGGGTAACAATCCTTGAGTCATGTCAGTGAAAATCTGGCCCTCCAAAGCTGAAGGTTCAGAAAAAGCTTCAGGTGAAGATTCGGGTGAAGAGCTGGGTCTGGGAGTTGAGTGCAGGAGGGCGTCGTTGATTCTCCTCAGCTCAGCCTCGATGAGGAAAGATGTGATGGCGTGATCAGCAGCCAGTGCAGAGACTGCATCTTTTGCAGCGATGATATCGGCTGCATCAGCGGCAGCAATTGCAGCGACTGCGCCAGCAGCAGCAGCTGCTGCTTCAGCATCAGAAGTAGCAGCTGCCGCCGAATCAGAAACAACGCTTGGAAAAACAGTGTCTACATAGCAGCACGGATCAGCCACACCAGGAGAGACAGCCTTGAGGCACGTAACAACTCCATGTAAACTTGCACCAGCATCACCAGAGTGCGAACCAGCAACAACTCCATGCGAATCGGCAAAGGCAGAAAAACCCGCATTGGCAGCAACCTCACCAACTGGAAGGCTGGGACCCGAGCCAATAACACCTGCACCTGTATAGTCCAGTCTGCGAGTATCGTCAACAGAAGTTGCATGGTCAAACAGCATCTGATCCACTTCAAGTTGGTAAGTGACCGGGATGTTGACTTTATCAAAGACGGCCTCCTGGGCCTCCTGGGCCTTCTGAGCCTCCTGGGCCTCCTGGGCCTCCTGGTGAGGAGGCCATTCGCCCAGGAGAAAGGCTTCGAGCTCCTTCAGCTCCTGCGTTGATGATTCCAGCAGTGAGAATGATTCAATGTCCATGGCATTCTGAGGTAGAGGGAGCGGAGGAAGGGGAGTGTAGGCAAGAGTGGGAGATGCAGGGTGAGGAGAAGTTGCAGTGGGTGGAACGTGGGGCGAGGCTGAAGGATCTGAAGCGGCAGGGAGAGGTGGGAGGGAGTGCGGTGCTAAAGGGAGTTGCTGTAACGATTGGAGGAATTGCTGTGAGGCTGGGGGGAGTTGCTGTGAGGCTGGGGGGAGTTGCTGTGAGGCTGAGGGGAGTTGCTGTGAGGCTGAGGGGAGTTGCTGCGATGCTGAATGGCTGAAGTCTGGTGATGAACAGTGTTGCTGCGGTACCAATGGACGCACTTGATGCCCGAACAAGCATGTCGTATGGAATTCCATGGCTGCTGGGCTTGAAATTTCAGGCATCTCTGTCACCGCTGTTGTTGCTGGCGCTGCTGCTGCTGCTGCTGCTGCGGCTTCTCCTGCTGCTGCTGCTTCTCCTGCTGCTGCTGCGGCTTCTCCTGCTGCTGCTGCTGCTCCATCCCTCATACTGAGTTGACTTGTCACCATTGTCCCTGCTCCAATCTGAGAATCCATTAGCGTCAACATTCTCTCCATCTCGACCGTGTCCGATCCTGCAGCGTGCTGGCACAGCGTGCGCTGCTGCTGACAAGACGAGTTGCTGAGAGTTGAACGGGATTCAACAATTCCTGGAAGGTTATGATCAATGCTGAGAGACGACCCGGATGTTTTTCCCGAAAAAATCAGCCTACCCGTGGGCTTCATCGAGTGATTGGTGGTTCTCGGCCTGTCTGTCATCATCATCATCATCGCTGTCGAATCCTTGTCCTTGTGCGCCGTACCCCGGTTCAGTCTTCGAGTTGTATCCTTGCTCTGATTGGAGAGCTTTCTGAATGACATGGCAAGGGGAAAAGGGAATGTACCAGAAGAGATATGAGGCAGTAGCGAGTGGTACATTTTGTGTAGATATAGCAATTACCTTCCTGGGCAAGGTAAATGTAGCAGTAGCGACGCCGTCATGTGGAATGGAAGCCAGGAATGAAAAATGTCAAGTTACAAAGCCAGCTATGTCAGGTAGTGATGGCAAAGCTCACGCGAATGATGCAAGAAAGTCTAGAGCAATTAATCAAATGACAAACTTGGGAATGGTATTCAGCACGCAAAGTACGAGGAAAACGCAAAGCCTGAGCATGAAGTATTACCCTTTGAGCACAATAAAGCGGTTACAGCACGCCTTGTGGTTTCGCGCGGGTAGAAGACCCATGGACTGTACAAGTGTCCATTTGTGTGTGCCATGCTTTGCCACGTGGGCCAACAATATCTCGTCTTCCTGCACACACCAACAAAAAGAAGAACAGTGATATTAACACAAAATTCATATATTTCAGAATGGCGATAACCATAGATCAACTAAAAAATCACAACAGAACAAGGTTCACTGTACCTCCGGCCTCCAAAGTGCACCACTAACGCGCTTCTTCTTCTCCTTAGCACCACCAGGAACCTGCTCTTTCAACCCCTGACTCAACACAGGCCTCATTGCTTCTACTATTGGAGCCCGAAATTGCTTCTATTTAAGACGTCTCCGAGACGCAGTTTGTTACTACTAATTCAGAGTCAGTACTCCTAGGAACTGGCTGATGGATATACCAGAAATTGAGGCAGCTCAGATTGAGTTCGGCGAAAAGACCTTGCTACCTAGTTTCAAACAAAATGAGGCACAAGCTGGAGCTCCCTGTCAACGGCTTCTTCAAATTAAACTTTCCGAAAGGGAGTTAATGCGTCTGAAAGGACGACCTCGAACTGAACCGGGGACAGAACCTTTCGGAGAGAAAATATTCTGGCAGAAACCGCCACGCTGATCAAATCTGGCTGAGATCGGATAGGCCATGGTGAATTGGAGACTGACGTTTGAAACGAGCGCCACAAGAGCCAGCCTGGGGGCACACCACAAAGAGCTTTCTGAGCATACGTTTGAAACGACCTTTTTTGGGAACGAGTGGATGCGGCACCCCGGCGACGCGACGCGAGCAGCGAGACGACTATAGGCTACTACAACTCTGCACTGTTCTGGCTGCTGCCGAAAGTAGCCAATTCGAAGCGAATAAGATGGTAAGTGGGACCAGGGTTTCGATATAGGCTTCGAAACCCTCGCGGAACCGCCCCGGCGCCAGCACATCGCCAGCGCAGTGCTCCGCCGTTCATGCCCCGCTTCTCCCCCCAACCCCTCCCCTCCACTTTCCGGTCCCCCCTCAATCCGGCCAATTGGTGTGCGTTGCGTTTGTATTCTGGAGGCTGAGGGGGAGGGCCTTCGGCGGGGAATTTTTTTTGGTGGGGTAATTCGAGAACCAGCTTCCACGAAACAGGGTGCGGTGTGAACACCACGACGAGACGATTCGTTCGCGCGCGCACCCTTTCGCGGCAAAGATCGAGTGACGGAAAAAGGCGGCAAGTCAGCTGGATAACTTGTGTGACTGGGAATGATGCCACAGCTGGACAACTCGGACGGACCTATGTCGCCGCGATTCGCGGACACGGGCGCAAGTCGAGCTCTCTGGTCGCGACCCGCCGCATATAAATTCCGACTTTCCGCTGTCGGTGCTTCTCGGTTTCATTCGGGCACCTCACCCGTGGTGGCCCAGTGGGATGATGATGATGCCGCATAGCTTGACTCGGCTAGTTGCTTGCTGCTGCGCAAGCATGCGTCGCTTGTGAAAAGGCCCGGTCTTTCACCAGAAGCACTGATTGGAGGGAAAGTATGCATTGATTTTTGGGCATCATTCTGCCAGCTGGGTTCTTGAGGTGCGGCTACAGCACCCCGTTAGGAAACGAGTGGAAGGATGCTGCCGTCAAGCTTTTAACAATGGCTTAGCCACTAACTTGTGCATCACGCATGAGTGAGGTATGGCTAAAAACGTGTGGTACTGAAACAAGGCTACGGCGCGCAGCGACGCACGGCACGCTGGCCTGGCCGGCCATGGCGACTAAGGAGAGAGCGCCGTAGCTAGAAGAGAAGAGTCAAGAAGAAGATTCTGAGATTAGATTAGAAAGATCCAAGGATGATACAAGAAAGACTAGAGAAGAATATTTATGCTAGGAGAAGTGAAGCGCGACTCGGATAGGAGGACCGTGTCGCTACTCAATCTAGCATAGCATCTCAACATAGCATCTCGATGCTATGCTCTGCTGGAATGTAGGATATGACGGGGATTGGGGAATGTGACGAGGATAGGAAGATGTGCTCCGAGGTAGGCAGTTGTCCCTATTCGAAGTTAGGAAGGCAACACTACCTTCCCCTTTCGAAGATTCCCATGCATGCTCGCATGGCGAATTCCGTCTTGTTACAGGTACAGAATAGTGAGCAATTGGCCCAACTCTAGCAAGGGTGCGTCAGATCCGTTACAAAGTGATTTGGCTGGAATTTGGTCGACCATTTTGGTCTACTATATCTTTCTCCAACGGCGACAACATGGTCGACTTCAAAAGTGATCAAATCTGGCCACATTTACAGGGCCGAAAAATCTGACACATTTGGTGGCCGATTTGAAGGCCGCTTTGCAAATGTGTCAGATTTGCAGTTCGCCAGGGTCGCCGGATTGTGCGACGGAGTCGCAGATGCAGTATTTGAGTGACACGTTGCGTCGCACGAGTTGGCAACGTCGCGTAGTGACTGTAGCGATCTCAGGTCGACAAATTGGTCGACTTTCGAGTCGACTGCACGTCGGAACTTTGTCGAATGCTGAACCGGCCATCAAATCTTTTACAAATGGCCGGATTTGACGAAGTTTACGAAATATTGGACGAATCTCGCAAATGTGTTACCTTCGCTCAATCCGGCCGGCCGGATTTTTCCGACAACGGAACGCACCCTAACGCACAGCCGGAGAAATATGACAAAGCGGAAGGTATGGAACACTACGATTTGGGAAAATATGCCACAAGTAACCAACTTAAGACTCGATTACGTGAATGGTAAAAAAAAAAAAAAAACGCGTACGGTAACTGGATCGGGTGTTCTGACGGGTTTGGTAAGTGGGGTCGCGGATTCAGTAAGTAACAACATGTTAAAAATTGTTACGATATGAAATTACATGAGTAGGCATTCCTGTATGCTGCAGGAGCCGACTCTACCGAGTACGAAGTCGAGGAGTCAGAAGAGTCGAAGCGACGCAGCAACCGTCTGACCAAGACCGATGCAGGCAGAAACATCTGAAGTGAAAAGAGCGGGAACATGTTTGAAACGGGCTCCCGCGCCGCACGGTTTGAATTCGCTGGAATAAGGGAATGTACCCCCTAGAGTACATGGCTAGTCTAGGTCTTTTCGTATTCCCTTGTGTTCTTATCTAAACCCAATGTATGCATGCTATTATTAACTCAGTCATTTACATTCACTCTGACCTGAGATTCAAACTTCCGCTGCAACACTACTCTGCGATCAATCCTGAGCGATCCTTCGCTAAGTCCCACTTGGGATTGTAACATGGTATCAGAGCTACTCAGGGATTCTTCGCAACTTCACTTCTGTGAAATTCGCCGAACCAAAATCTGGCGAGCGGCACACGCTCCAAGACCAAGATGGCCGGAGGATCCGGAGGCCAAGCAAATCTGACGGCTGAAGGACAAACCAACCCGGCTGCGACAAATGAGGCAACAACTACGATCGGCACTGCCGCACTCGAGCAGTTATTCGCTCGACTTTCAACTATGGAGAAAGAACTCCAAGATTTGCGCAAAGGCGATGCGGGAACCTCTTCCCATCCAGCTCAACCTGGACAACCGGCTTCGAAAAGCCGTGATACCGCCGCGCACACCTTCTCCCTCGACACGGACAAATCAACAACAACTGCCCCCCGTCCAAGTGATGAAGTCATTAACTCTGCGCAAGCACGCTTTCTCAGCGTTTCAAAAATCAAGACTACTTCCGCATTTGACGGTAAAGATGTTTACACATGGAGTTTCGAGCTTGAGCTCCTCCTACAGACAGCGCAGATCTACCATTACTTCGACGGCTCCTATTCTAAACCGGTGGACGACACCGGCGACGCCAGGGCTCAATACTACAGCGAGTCCCTCATGGCGTATAGTGTGCTGCTACGCAACATGACGCCTGCAGAGCAACTAAGCATCCGCTCCTACAAAGAGAGCGCCTCCAGCCTTGGAAGCCTGGAAGCACCTCGTTGAGGTTTATCAGTCGAAGGACTCGGTTACCGCCAGCAGGCTCCTGTAGCAACTCATGGAGACAAAGATGGAGCACGGGGAGAAAGCGAATTCTTATATTAACCGCTGTCGCAACATCCGTGACCAGATCACGAAGCATGGGAGCGCAATCTCGGAAGAGATCTTCGTCAACATAGTCCTTCAAGGACTCGGGCCAGAGTGGAAGCCCTGCAAAGCGCTACTCCGACAGCGAGGAATCATCTCAGAAGCCGCGCTATGCGCTGCACTCCTGACTGAACAGCAGGACATGGACTCGAGCAGAACAAGCTCAGCGCCGCGCCGAGAGCGCCTCGCCTTCTACGCTGACAACCGTGAAGAGCGACGACAACCAAGGCGCCACTATTGCAAAATATGCAAAGTCTTCGGACATTCAACGGATCGATGCAAATCCCGATCCAACTATCGCCACCCAAACTCCACTCACCACAACAACGGGGTCGGCCGACAAGATGCTCGTCATCCTCAGTCTCAGCATCAGACATCTCGTCTTCCTGCACAACATCAACATCAGCAAACTCAAGGACCTCAATCAGGAGCTCCTAGAAACATCATCGCAAATATGGCGACGCGCCGAAGTCGCGCTGCTGAACCTGACGAAGAGAATGAGACTCAAGGAAGACTCCCTGAACCAGAAGAGGGTTGGAATAATCCCCTCACTGAAGATCACTATTACCTGTATGACGAAGACGAGCAGGATTGGAATCAGCCAATCACACTGCGGGAAAGCCCGCCACACGACAACCAACAATATGTACCTGTGGGATGGAAGGAAGACGAAGACCCCCTCTTCCACAGGCGCTACAAGGCAACTCTGGTGACTCCGCGATTGGCGCTACTTCTGCGCAGAACCAACACCGACAATCACAATACCTGGTACCTGGACAGCTGCTGCGGACAGCACATGGTGGGATCCACGCGATACGTCTCTAATCTGAGCCGCGCGCCCGCAACTTATGTCACCGTCGCCAACAACGAGCAGCTGCGCGCCAATGCGCAAGGCATCGTGGTCCTACAAGCGCGAGACAGCAACACACACATCTCGTTCAA